TGAGCCATGCACTTTTTTCCCGCCTCAGTCTTTGCCTGAGAGGGTTTTTAACGAGGCACACATTTTCATCAATAAAATGACTCGCCCCCTTTTATTCATACTCTTACTTTCATCATTTTGTCCACAATTAGTAGAGGTCGAGTATGAACCTCCCACGATTATTAGAGGTCGAGAACGAACCTTGTCGTGATTACTAGAGGTCGAGAACGAACCTCGCCGTGATTACTAGAGGTCGAATACGAACCTTGCAACAATTGTTAGAGGTCGAGAACGAACCTTGTCGTGATTACTAGAGGTCGAGAACGAACCTCGCCGTGATTACTAGAGGTCGAATACGAACCTCGCCACGATTGTTAGAGGTCGAGAACGAACCTTGTCGTGATTATTAGACGTCGAGAACGAACCTCGCCGTGATTACTAGAGGTCGAATACGAACCTCTCCACGGTTGTTAGAGGTCGAGAACGAACCTTGTCGTGACTATTAGGGGTCGAGAACGAACCTCGTAGTGATTATTAGAGGACGAATACGAGCCTCGTCGCGATAACTAGAGGTCGAAAACGAACCTCATCATACCTATACTCAATTAGAGGTCGAAAACGAACCTCGTCACGCTTATTAGAGGTCGAATTCGAACCCCGGCATTGCAAAAGATAAGCTCAAACACTCGCAACACGCCATCAAACAAAGAGCCGAAGCCGACTTCGAGTCTCGATACAATAAATTCAAAATAAAACCACCTACGCAACGGGCACCGAACGCGCGCCCTAAACCTTGAGAAAAAATCAAAACCAAACACTGGTGCAGAACAAAACTCGTATTCAAAGGTCACGATCCATACATAAACACGGATACAAAAATGTATACACAACAAAACTGTCCTATACGGAGACGTCGTCGCTACAACTCTCCTCGACATCGTCCTCCCGGACTAACCGCCCGAAGCGAACAACCTTCTCCAAATGCATACCGGAAAAGTCGCACCCCGGCGCGAGGAGCCTAGCCTGCCGAGCAGCCTTGAGGAAGCCCCTCTTATGTTCCATTACCACAGAACATTCAACTTCCTCAAGCCTCCTCTTCAACGCCGTATTCTCGGCCTCCAAAGCCGAAAGACTTACCCTCTGGGCAGCCACCTCCTCCTCCTTACTACTGAGGACCACCTCATCGCGGAGACGCTCCTCGGTTACGGACACCAGCTCGCCCTTCAAAAAAGTCACCTCCTCTTCCAAGGAGTGAACCTGGCTAGCGTAACCCTCATTAGTGCCCAAGGCGGCCTCTCGGCGAGATCCCCCCGGACCTCCTGGAGCTCAGCCCCCTGCATCTTCGCCTCAGACAGGGTGGCGGCCAAAACCTTGTTCTCCTCCACCAAAGGCCGCACTTGGCCCTTCAGCTTCGCCAGATCTTCCTGCTGCCGCGACCACTTGTGCTTCCAGTAATCCACAATGGTCGTGCCCCTCTGCAGGAAGATCTGAGCGGCATCAAAACTCCCCATAGGCCTGACGGACTCGAACATTGCCTGGTCGGCCGCGCTCAATGACCCCCTCGGAAAAAATTTCTCGGGTGTCAACGAAGCACTCCACAGTGAGTCAATCTCCTCTGACGCACTCAGATGCTCCAATCGCGTCGGGGCGCCCTCCTGCGCATAGCGGTACGCAAGATAGGGACGTTTTGGAGGCCCCCTCGTCGCAGGTGCAGAGGCTGGGACCCTAGAGCTAGGACCTTCCCCACGAGGATCGGCCGAAGTAGCAGCAGAAGCTCCCGGCTCTGCCCCAGGGACATCGGCCCCCGCCGCCGTCGACCTCGGAACCTTCAGAACCCCGGGGGGCCTGCCCGCCTGCAAAAGAAGTATGAGAAAAGGTCTAAGCCCTGCCAGACAACAAACAACCTGGGGAATAGCAAATCAAGAGATCGCAAACACACGTTGCTCACCTCAACAACACGGGTAACTCGCCCGACGGTCGGAACTTCCGCTCTAGAAGTCGTACTGACCTGGCCAGCAGCCCGGGAAGTCGACTCGACGGCAGCCTCCACCTACAATAAACAATCGCAACTCAGGGAACTGAAAGAGAACGTACAAAGAAAGAGCAAGTCATCGACAAGCAATCCCAACCGCTCGTTCAGAAGCCCGGATAGACACCCCGGCAGGATGGACGAAAGGCTCGCCAGCCGACGCTGCCCCCTCAGAAACCACCCGAGCTCCCCCCTGAGGCAGGAGACTCCCGGGCAAACCCGCCACCTCAACGCCGGTGGCCCCAGTAACAACCTCCTCCGCCTCGCGAGGAACAAAGGCTCCCCCAACCTCCCTCGGGACCCTCTTCCTTTTCCGATTGACCTTCAGGGGAGAGACCTCTACCTCCCCCTGAGCCTTAGAAGCCTCAAGCTCAACAACATTGTAGCAATGGCACTGCTTCCAGTCACGCCACAAGTCCTTTCCCACAATACCTGAAAGCAAAGGACAGAGCACGTTAGCAAGCATAAAACCCTAACACATAAACAAAGTTACCAAAGACTCACCCTCCAAATCTCTTTCTCTGTGCGCCGAACGCTCGAGTGACAGAATGAGCTTACAGTCTAGCGGGCGAGGAAGCGCCTTCAAAGCATCGACAGCAGCCGTCTCCGACGGCGTCAGCTGCGAGGGGTCCACCCCATGAAACCCAGACGGGTCACGGCACCAGTAGAAGGGAAACCTCGGCAGCCCGCCAAAATAGAACCCCCCATCCTCCAAAGGGTCGACATCGACAAGAGTAACCCGGAAAAACTCTTCCCTATAGTTTTTATACGATTGGGAATAAGGAGTAAATAAACCCCCTTCCTTACCCCCATTCAAAGAAAGAGTTCCGTACGGCGGGGCGCCCGCCTTCAATTGGTAGAAAGAGAGAAAAACCCGAAGGGACACCTCCACCCCTAGAACCGTGCATAAAACCTCAAACGCCCTCAAAAAACCCCAACTATTGGGATGCAAATGACTGGGGTCCGCATTAACATAGTTTAAAAAGTCGCATTCAAACTGCGTCAAAGGAAGGCAGACACCCAAGTCCCTGAAAAAACTCTGATACATATAGAAGGAGGGGGAACCAACGGACCTCTTCATATACACACCTTCACTAGCCGAACAAGGCTCCAATCGGATCTTCTGAGAAATAGAGGGGTCACAAATCCTATGCGTCTCCCAGAGCGCCTCAACCTCCAAACTCGAGTCAAAAACGCTTGCAAACTTGGCCATTTCGCGTTTTACCCATTCGTAGCCAAGGACACCCAACTCTAAGTCCCTGGGCGGAGGCACCTCCTTTCCCTCAACGGCGCCCCTACCGGTAACCACCGCCTTACCGCGTGCTTTGCCCCTAGCAGGGGCAGTAGAACCAACGCCATGACCACCAACCATCAAGAAAACTCAAAGAATCACAAGAAAGACAAAGAAAGCAGAAATAGGGAGCAGACGAAGACGAAGCGTGCACAAGAAGCTGAAGGGCCAGGAAAGAGTAAAGCGAAAACGAGAAGAGGTGCGGGAAAAGGAAAAAACCTCTTCCCAAAGTTCAAAACGGTCAGGCCACGTGTCGACCAAGGGGCACGCCTGATGACACATTAATTGCAACCCATCATTGCATAACCGTCATTTCCCTTAATGCGCCACTTGCACGTTCCCGGGAAATGAACAGTCGCGACACATGGCAGACCCTCAGGTGGCGCACATGGAAAGCTACTTCCCACTGGCGAGCCCGGTCTCAGCTCCTCGACCTACGATCTTCAGAGCTCGGGGGGCTAGTGTACTAACCGTACTTCGCACCCGGGCTCCGAGCCCGGATTAGCAATACAAAACAACCCCGGGCACGCGGTGCATGACGTCAGCCCGGTATTTAAGCAAATCATACCTGATTCCGGGGATCCCGTCCCAGACCGGATCCGCCCTCCAATTGTATCAGATCATGATATATCTTATCTCAAGCCCAAAAGCCTAAGGCAAACCTAATTCACTCCAAGGTACGTGCATTACTTATACGAGACTATTACACACACAAACCCCAACTTTGGCATCGGAGTCTCTTTTGCAGGTACCTCCCCCATCTTGGAGCACCAATACATCAGGCAAAGGAGGCTCACCGATCTTACTGGACGAATCACCTCTACGACCAAATTCCGGTAAGAACAATAATCATCTTTGATTCTCCATATTTAATAATTTATTATGTCTTTCTATTATTAAAAAAAATTATTTATTTAACTACTTTTTTATAGAGGTATCTAATGATTTGACTCATTAATAATATATATTATAATATATGTTACATACATATGTAATTTCAGATTTTCGCATCAAATTTATCGAGAGGCACAAAGCAAATTAGCATACAAATAGTGTGTATTGGCGTTAAAATCCTTGATGCCCGTTATTACCTTTGAAATTTTTGTAAAATAGCTAATTAAATTATGAGCTTATTTAGATAATTTTTTTAATGAATATTTAAATAAAAATAAAAAAATATAATAAACTTTCATATAAATTAAAATTAATTTATAAAAGTTTTTTTTTTATTTTATCTAAAATTTTATTCTTAACTCACGTTCAACTTAAGAAAACATTTATTTTAATTTTTTTTTCTTAAAAATGCTTATTGAAAAAGCTTATCTAAAGAGTCCCTGTAATCGTATTCAAAGTTCAAACACACACAAATCTTGCATTACGATATTTTATCCGTAAAACAAGAGATTCAATTCAACACATCAACTTCAAATTAATAAGGAAACATTTCTGAAAATACGTATAAAACTATTGATACGCGACTATTCCATACATAAACAATTTGAATGAATAGCCCTCAAAAGGAAATGACATAAATAAATAAACACATCAACATTAGGTTAATTAAAAAAAGAGAAAAAGACACCCTAAACTAAGATTTGATTTCTAAACCAACCTTCATCCCACCTTCGTGTGGACCCCACCTCCCTACCCATGCACCCTCTATAAAACATCATCCTCATTGCTTCTACCACAAACCAAACACAACAAAGTTTAACTAAATTCACTCACTCAAACATCCTTCTTTTCATTCTCGACATGGCTCCAAGCATGAAAAAAGCTTCACCATCTTCACTTGTGACAAAGCACGTGAACGGGTTCAACCCCTCACCCTTCACACTCTCCGAGTCAACCCTAAAAGTAAACGGCCACGTCATCCTCTCCCATGTCCCGCAAAACATAACCCTAACCCCATGCACCCACGACAACACCACCACCGGTTGCTTCCTCGGTTTCCGCGCCCCCTCTCCGAAATCGCGCCACGTGGCACCCATGGGCCTCCTCCAAAACATAAACTTCACCTCCATCTTCCGCTTCAAGGTCTGGTGGACCACTCTCTGGGCCGGCTCCAACGGCCGCGACCTCGAAACCGAAACCCAGTTCCTCATGCTCCAGTCAAGCCCAAGCCCAAACCAAAGCCCACGTCCCTACGTCTTATTTCTCCCCATAATAGAAGGCCCGTTCCGCGCCTCGCTGGAGCCCGGGCCAGGCGACAACGTATCCGTCTGCGTGGAGAGCGGGTCGAGCCACGTGGCGGGGTCCACCTTCGACGGCGTCGTTTACATGCAGGCCGGGGAGGACCCGTTCACGTTGGTGAAGGACGCGACGCGCGTGGTGAAGGCTTGGTTGGGAAGCTTCAACTTGGTGGAAGAGAAGAGGGTTCCGGGGGTGGTGGATAAGTTCGGGTGGTGCACGTGGGACGCGTTTTACCTGACGGTGGAGCCGGAGGGGGTCAAGCAGGGCGTGAAGGGGCTGGCCGAGGGCGGGTGTCCGCCGGGGTTTGTGCTGATCGACGACGGCTGGCAGTGCATCAGCCACGACAAGGATCCCGAGGCGGAGGGGATGAACCAGACGGTGGCCGGAGAGCAGATGCCGTGCAGGTTGATTAGCTACCAGGAGAACTACAAGTTCAGGGATTATGGCGAGGGAGAGGGGTTGAAGGGGTTCGTGAGGGATCTGAAGGAGGGGTTTGGCGTGGAGTATGTGTACGTCTGGCATGCTCTCTGTGGCTACTGGGGAGGGGTCAGGCCTGGGGTGAAGGGCATGGCGGAGGCCACAGTGGAGGAGGTCCGCTTGTCGGAGGGGCTCAAGGGGACCATGGAGGATCTTGCCGTCGATAAGATTGTACAGAATAGGGTCGGGGTGGTGCCGCCGGACCACGTGGCGGAAATGTACGAGGGCCTTCATAGCCACTTGGAGAGTTCAGGGATTGATGGGGTTAAGGTTGATGTCATTCACGTAAGTTTTCCCCTTTCCCTTTTTTTTTTTTTTTTTTATTTAAAAAAAAAACCATTTTAATGGATATATTTCGTGGTGGAAAAATGATAAAATATCACTATCTTGGTTACAGTGTAAAGAGTATATATTCATTAACTTTTTTAGAAAATAAAGTAAAAATACGATTCATTGTTTATATGTAAGGAGAAAACATTGAAAACAAGCCATTATTAGAGCCTCAGAGAATCATTTTTTATTTTTTTTTATTTTTCTATTATTTGTTATACAAATAGAGAGAATTTTTTGGTTTGTTTGACATTTATAACAGTCATTGTCAGCTCGTTTCACTTTCCTATATTTTGGTCGGCACGTTATTTCTTTTTAAATTCAAGTTTTGCCCTTCTATTTTTTTACTCTTTTTTCTTTAAAAAACAGATATATATATATACTTTTTATGTCAGCATTCATTTACTTAATTCTGGACCACATTTCTTGTCAAATGCAAATTACCAAGCTTTTCCTTTTCTTTTTGGTGTGTTGTCTTGGTATGGATGCTTACTTGTGTCTTGGGATGTATTGGATTTGTGTAACAGTTGCTAGAAATGGTGTGTGAGAAATATGGAGGACGAGTAGATATGGCCAAAGCATATTACAAAGCTCTCACCGCTTCGGTGAGAAAACATTTCAAGGGCAACGGTGTCATTGCCAGCATGGAGCATTGCAATGATTTCATGTTGCTGGGAACTGAAGCAATATCCCTTGGTCGTGTTGGTATGTGACCCTGACGTGCAACATAGTAATAATAGTAATACACAACATATATGTATATTATTATGTATAAATCGCAGATATAATATTATTGGAGCTGTTAATGTCGTTTTCTGATCGAAATTGGATCTTGGTAGTATGCATAATAAATGATTTCATTATGTATGTTATTAAGATAAAACTCAAATTCTGATAAAAAAACGACTCTAACACTATCCATGGTAGTGTATCTTAAGTTTTCTCATATTATTATTTGGAATTATAAGTTCCTTTGATCTGATATAAGTGTATGACTTGGATTGTAACAGGTGATGATTTCTGGTGCACTGACCCTTATGGTGATCCAAACGGTACATATTGGCTACAAGGGTGTCACATGGTGCATTGTGCATACAACAGCTTGTGGATGGGAAACTTCATCCACCCAGATTGGGACATGTTCCAATCTACACACCCTTGTGCTGCTTTCCATGCAGCCTCAAGAGCCATGTCTGGTGGCCCCATTTACATCAGTGACAAAGTTAGGAACCACAACTTTGAGCTGCTCAAGACCCTGGTCTTGCCTGATGGCTCCATCCTCAGATGTGAGCACTATGCACTTCCAACCAGGGACTGTCTCTTCGCTGACCCTCTCCATGATGGCAAAACAATGCTCAAGATATGGAACCTCAACAAGGTCACCTCCCCCTCCTCACATCTCATACTTCAATTCATCATCTCCTTTCCAATGATTTCGTGTCTATGAAATTAAACTAACACTTTATATGAGAAGATTGTAGATAAATCAGGAAGAGTTTGTGCAATCTTATGAAATTTCAAAAGGTGTTAGTGTGATTTACTCTTGATTTTAACAATGAAGAAAACGAGAAATTGAGCTCTTGCCAAGTTACTTACAAAAATGTGCCATGTTTCTATGATGATGTTGCTTAAAAGCAAATTGATTATTTACCAGTGCCAAATGGAAAATGTTTTTCCACAATAAGAGTGAGACAACTTTTGTTATCCTGTTCAATTTGAGACTAACTTTTCATACAATTCTTGAGGTGCTTTTGGTGCTGGTTGTTTTTATTAGAACTGGAATTTTATCTCGATAATCTGTATAATAAACATTTGTATTGAATGTCAATATGGATTATGAGATAACGTTTCAATTCTGATTAGTAATCAACACCAGAAATACTCAAAGAATCATATTAGTTTTCTCTTTTAAGTTCAGCAGAATATTTTGAGATGTGTGTATAGAAAAGGATATAAAAAATGTAAGACATAGAGATGACTCTGTGTGATATTAAAATAATGGAAATGGTGTTAAAAAGGATCAGAACCTAACAGTATTGTGATCTTGCTTTTTAATACAGCACACTGGAGTTCTTGGAGTGTTTAACTGCCAGGGAGGAGGCTGGTTCCGTGAGATAAGGTCCAACAAATGTGCTGCTGAGTTTTCTCACAGGGTGTCAACCAAGACCAATCCCAAAGACATTGAGTGGAACAGTGGAAAGAACCCAATTTCCATTGAAGGGGTGCAACTTTTCGCCTTATATTTCAGCCAAGCCAAGAAACTCATCCTCTCAGCACCCTCTGATAGTGAAGAGGTTTCCTTGGAGCCATTCCATTTTGAGCTCATAACAGTTTCCCCTGTGACTGTCTTGCCTGGCAAGTCTATCAAGTTTGCTCCTATTGGTTTGGTGAACATGCTGAACACTGGTGGAGCAGTTCAGTCCTTGGCCTTTGATGAGGCTCATAATTTGGTGGAAGTTGGAGTAAGAGGCAAAGGGGAGATGAGGGTCTATGCCTCAGAGAGACCAAGCACTTGTAGAATTGATGGCAAAGAAGTTGATTTTGAATATGAAGAGTCCATGGTCAAAATTCAAGTACCCTGGCCTGGTTCTTCAAAATTGTCCACTGTTCAGTATGCATTCTGATCTTGGAAGGGATTTTGTTTTTTATTTTTTAAATTATTGTCCATAGTGAATGATGTTAAGGGCCTTTTTATCCCCTGTTTGTATGTTTCATTAGTTGCTTTGGCAGTTTTTCCCTCAGTGCTGAGGGAATAATAGAGTGATCTGATAATTATGTCAATTTCTCAATCATATAGTGCTGTCATTAGGCAAAGATTATTGGATAATTCAAAGAACTTACTTATAATTATAAGAGGCCTGAAAGGCTGAAACTGTTTGATACAAACATTGTTGCTTAATCCCTTTGGTGCCAACATCTACGCCTCCACTTCATTACCTACTACGAAATGTCCATCTTCGAGCTCCATGTGACAGTAGTTGATTATTACAATATACATCCATTATATAAAACTTTTGTTAATTATTTATGAAAATGAGGGTGATTTTTTCGTGTTTTGAAAACGATAACATACATCAGACATTGACGAAATTGAGATTGATATACAATCATGAAATACTGGATAATAGCAATACGATCATATATAACATAACAATGTTCACTGCATTTCGGTTTTATTGTATCCTAGTCATGACATAGTTTAAGATGCCTTCATTTTCATGTATCTTATATTCTTCTGGAACTTAAATATGAATCATGCCAGAGGAACTTTTGGAATTTTCATATCTTCTATTTGTCCATCTTGCCTTTTAGTTCATTTTCTTATTTGATGATTTTTATCTTTGAAATTAACGAGTCTACCACCTTTGTGTGTTTGAGATTCGTTCGAAATATTAGCTAGTGGAACTTGAATACCAATTCTTCTTTTGAAACACTTTGCCGAACATGATTTTCAAATCACTTTGATCACACAAATGGCTTGGAGCAATCAACATATTATACACATAAAGCAACATTAAAAATAAAACAACCATCATCAAGGCGCTTCACATACATGCAACAATCATACACATGATGTCCGTAGCCAAATTAAAGCCCAGAAGAGTCACATCATTGCCATTGACACAATTTTAATCCAAAGAGAAATCGCTTCAATTTACAAAATTGTCCATTTTTTTTAAAGTAAAAAATAAGTCGAGCAAAATTCACTCTTAATTATACTTTTAATCCTTTTGCCACTATTTAACAAATTTGATTCTCCCATTTTTTTAAATTTTGTTAGAATAGTGGATTAAGCTTAACTCAACCCTACAAAACCGGCTTGTAAGGTAAGGGTTGCTTTCCACTTATATATTATTCAATTGCTTAATCTCTAGTCGATGTGGGACTTGGGTTTTTCCCAATACACCCCCTCACTCCAGCACTATTGGGCTTGGTACGTGGATAAATGGTGGGTGACCCTTTTTAATGATCTAGGATTGGCGGGACTTGGGTTTTTCCCAATACACCCCCTCATGCCTATGAGACATGCATCAATGGTGGGTGGCCCATTTTTAAAGTGGATCTATACTAGAGATTAGGCAATTGAATAATATATAAGTGGAAAGCAACCCTTACCTTACAAGCCGGTTTTATAGGGTTGAGTTAGGCTTAATCCACTATTCTAACAAATTTTTTTTTTATATTTTAATCGCACTTCCTTCCCTAATTTGACATCTAAATGTTAAAATGACAATACAATAAAACATGCCAACATTTTCTGGTTAAAATTAAATATATATTTTTTTAAATTTTTGTTTTAGTGTTCTAAAATTTTGCTTTAAACTAATCTAATTTAATTAAAAGGTAAGTAAAGTTTAGTCAATGATTATTTTCGTCAAGAATTAAACGTGAATATTGTCTGAAAATCTTGATTCAAAACATTAAATATAAGTTAATAAATGAAATAAAATTTCATAACTAAAATAATGGAATCAAATTAAAAAAAAATAAAAATAAAATTCGAGAACAAATTTACAAAATGATGACACAGAGGGTGGAAAGAATAATTAAGAAAACTAAAAATCAAAATAACATTAAAACTATTTTAAATATAAATAAATATTGATTTTACATTTTATTCATTTATTTATTATCTTTTTAACTGAAGACAAAAAAAAAGTGGAGAAAAATAAAACGAAATCAGAAATAAAAGCAAACAAATATAAATTTATTTAGGATTGGAAGCAGAAGGAAGAAGAAGGACACCACAGTGTTGTAACTGTTGTTAAACATTGTTCACTGTTACAATTTCGAACCGATTTCCCCACTGGCTGCATCCAATTACGATTCTGCCCCCCAATTTCGGTAATTAACTCTAACTCCGAGGTTGTCTTCCTGTTACTTGTAATTGCTGAATTCTACATTCGACTTTGTGTAGAGATTCATCACAACTATGGACACGAGAAGGGGTGAAAGCAAGTCACAACATGATGACTTTGTTTGCCACTCTGAATACCAGTGACCCCTTTCTACAAGGCATTAATAATGCCATTATTTTATATCTTAAAGAACAAGAAAAAGGTTGAGAGGGTTCAAGAAAATAGAAGAAAAAAAAATAACAATGACCATTTTTATCATTTTAGTCCCTAAAACCAATGTTATAACAATTGAACTCGTCTAAGCAACAATTTGATGGTTTAATTATTAAATTAGTTTTAAAAATAATATAATTAACATAATTTAAGATATCTTGTAGTGTAAATTTAAAATTATTGTTATTCTAAATAATAGATATCACGTGTCCAAATTTTAAATTTAAAATCATAAGTTCATATTAACACAATTTTATACTTCAAATTTAAATAGAAACTCATAAATCTTTAATTTATAACAACAAAATTCATTAACAATTAAACTAAAGTCAATGATATAACTCTACAAAAATAAGTTTAAAATTCAAAACATAAATAATATTAACATCTATAATTATGTCAAAGTTAATGCTACAAAATGCAATGTTTGGAAAGTCCAAACCATATTTGTCAAAAACATATTTAAGCATTTTAAATTTCACTTGACATGTTATTTTTGAACCTAAGATAAAGAAAAAGGAGAAAAATAAAACAGAAATAAAAAAAGATTTGAGTTAATCATCTATACACTGCCAGTATAAAGTTTTTTTATACTGACAACCGATCATATCTTTTATTAATATCATGTTAACTACTTATTTAATAAAATAATAATAAAATAAATAATTATAAAAAATATGATTGGTTGTTAGTGTAAAAAAACTTTACACGTAGTGTATAAATGATTAAATCAAAAGATTTTATTTAGGATTGGAAGGGGAAAGAAGATAGTTCGGGTTTTGTTTGGAAGTTTTTGGGTTTGTTTTTCTTATATGCTAAGGAGTAAGGACACGACAGAGTCGCACCTAACAAAAGATTTGTGTTGGAGTTTGTTGGTTCAGTCTCGATGAACACGACGCCGTTTATGGACAAGCAGATTATGGATCTCACTCACGGATCTTCCACGAACAAGGACTTCATCGACCTCATGAAGCAAGAGCCTCATCACCATCTTCAAGACGATGAAGAGCAACAAGACCAAGAACAAAAATCATCGCGTGCCAATGGAATCACCAAAGACGACATCCTTCCCAGCTACGATTTCCTACCCATTCGCCCCCCTAATCACGACTCTGCCCCCAATTTCGCTGCCGCATTTTCTCGCCCTTGGAACTCCGATTCCATCTCCCCTCCCCTCGTCAAAGTAACATTCTCGCTTACCCTTTTGCTTCTTTGCCCTAAATTTTTTCTCTTTAACTCCTTTGCTGATCTGGGTGTTCGCTCATGTTTCTTTTTCTTTTGTGATTGATTATGGGTGTTGGATTAGTTAATAGTTGGAGTTCAAGTTAGTTGTTAGGGCTTTTCTTTGGTAATTAACTGTGAGGTTGTCTTCCTGTGACTTGTGATTGCTAAATTGTAAGCCTTTCAGAGATTGACCGGGATCATGGACCCATGGGGGTACTGGACCATGTTGGATTAATTGGAGTTCAAATTAGTTGTTAAGCCTTGTTTGTTGGGTAATTAATTGGGAGGGTGTCTTTGTGTGACTTTTGATTGCTAAATTGAAAACATCTGGTATTTGTGAGTTTGACTGGGTTCATGGGCACTTGGTGGTACTGGACCATATTTTCTGTGTTACCTGGAGATTGACTGGGAACATGGACATGTGGCAGTACTAGATCATATATCTTGAAAGGGTTTTGCTATCTTTCAATGTTTGGGATGTGATACATGTACTATTTCACTTAAGTTTTTGATTGTGGGGATTCTTTAGTCTATTGTGTGCCCATGAAATGTATTGAATTGAACACTTTAAATTACTTTTAAAAAAGGGCAAGCATTTAGTGACTTTATTGTTTTCAATACAATAAATGCTTTCTTTGTTATTAACTTTTTTCTTCTTCTTTCTATTATCGAGTTCTTATTGTGCACCCTCAGGTCACTGGCACACAATAGAAAAACCGTTTGATTGCTTGCTGTTTTTAAAATTATGCATATTCAATTGTGTTCATTTAGGCATGTGCTTAAAGAAAAGGGATGCTATTTATTTGAAATATGAGGTTAGGTCATGGCCCTTTGTGGTTTCCACCAAATTGTAATTTCTCAGCCTGGGTGCTTGACCATAAAATTCTACAGAAATGGATTCCTACATTTCACACATTCATGAAGTTATGAATCAAAACCATTGGATGAAAATTGGTCGGTTTGCACCTTGGATACTTATTTTAAGTTGTTTGTAGACATAAAATATGAGTCATTCAACCTCATCCAATGGTTACGATTAGCTAAATGTGGGAAATCCCATACTGCAAGGAATCCCGATCTAAAATTCTATAGCATGTTAGTGTCGTGTGGTGAGTTGGAGCTTCTTTTTCTAAAAAATTCTTTATTTTTTGTGTAAAATACTGATACCATCAAGATACTTGTCTTCATGTCTAGGTTCCCAATGTTGTTCAGGAAACAGTAAGAGTTATATGATACTATCTAGTTATTTATTTCTATGTTGTTAATAGTGTGCTATAGCACAGCACGATAGTGGTAGAGCAGCTAGTGGCTGCTATTTCATGGCTGCAGCACAGTGTTTTGGTGTAGATCGCAGTCTGTGGTGCACAAATTGGCAACCACGGTGTAGTTCACCTGAAAACCCAAAAATACCCTTAAATTTTAAGTTGTAACATTACCTAGGGGGAATTTTAGGAATTCTCATTGTATATAAAGATTTTTCTAAAGAAAACCTATTCAGTTTTTTGTCGTTTCTGAGCTTGAATGGACAACCTCTTGCGCAACCTAGCCCTCCTCTTCTTAGAGGCTTGATTTATTTATAATTTACTTTTTGAATTTGACTTGTGCTCTCAACTCTATAGTTATAGTTGTTATTTTACTTTGCTGTTGCATCAGGGTTTTGTGTATTTGAATAATTGGGTGATGATTCATGAGTAGTGCTGTGTTGGAGTTGGAGGCATCAATAATTTATTGTACCATCTTGGTGCAGTGTTTTTTCTTCAAAAGTTTTATGTATTCATCCTTATTTTGTGCAGAGTTACAGTTCTCTGGATTCAGCAGAACCTGCAAAGGTCATTGTAGAAAAGGACCGAAGTGCTTTTGATGCTACAATGTTGTCTGAGATTGATCGTACCATGAAGAAACATATGGAAAATATGCTTCATGTTCTGGAAGGTGTTAGTGCACGGTTAACACAACTAGAAACCAGAACCCACCATCTTGAAAATTCTGTGGATGATTTGAAGGTATCTGTTGGAAATAATCATGGTAGCACTGATGGAAAATTGAGGCAGCTGGAGAATATTCTTCAAGAGGTATTTTATCTATCACACTCAGTCTCCACCCCCTTCTAGCCTTAATAATTAGCTACATTTTGTTTGTTGAATGAGTTCGAAGGTTGATGTTAATATTTGTCTAATATAAAAGGTTCATCCAATAAAACATATAGTTAACAATTTAATACCTTAAATAGTTGTATCCTAATCCATAAGCATTTTTTTTATGTTCAACCATTCAATTTAACCTTTTTTTGTGCCACACTAAAGTCTAAAAGGATTAAGTTGAAAAAACACATCATTAGAGACTCTAGTACCATGCCAAAAAACAATTATCACAAATGCTTGAGCTATTAGGCGAAAGCATATGAAAGGTTTTATATTACATCATCCAAAACGACATATACCTTTCTAGATTTTAATATTTTTTTGGATAATTAACTCATGAATTTGAGTTGAGCCTTACAACCCCAAAAGTTAGCTCATGAGATGAGAATGGTCTAAGCTTTTATAAGCTCTACTTTGGCCATATTTGTACTTGGGTGGGATCTCACCATTAACTTAGTTGACTTTCCTTGAGGTGTTTTAAGAATTTTACTATTTAGGTCTTAAAGTGGGGTTCCCAATATAAAGTTGCCATGATATGGTAGCTTCAACATGGCTACACTATGGCACCCATTGTTTGCATGGTGACCATGGGTGTCCTACACAATGACAATGGTCAATATATGGTAAGCAGTGACTATACTTGAGAACTTGAACCACTTTTTTTGTGAATGAAAATGTGCTATGGCCTAGGGGGCCTAGGTGCTATCAAGATTGTAATACTGTATCTATAATTTTATAGTTGTGTATCTTTCCTCCCAACTGTGATGCCATTCTTTTATTAAGGTGTTTTTTTCCACACTTGAACACTTGATAGACTCACAGATTATGATAATGTGATTTGTGTGCTTCTGCTGTGTGCTTTGTAATTGAGCTGACCACTTCAGATATAAAATTGAATATGTTGATATGTTTGTGAATTTAATTCTTACGTTGTCTGCCATGTAAGATTATAGAACTTAGTCTCTCCACCGGTAGACGTTGTAGGTCCACATTATTGATATTTATACCGTTTTAAATTTTCTCTAATAATGAAACATTATGAAAAGGTATTAAACTGAATTTGTTAGTTCACAATCAAACTCATTTTTAACATCAAAAAGTAGATAATAAAACATTTAGATTAGAAATCTTAAAGAAAAAATTGTGATATTTTAATCATCAACCCAAAGGAAAATGGTAAGATAAGAGTTGACAACCAAGCGGTTATGCCAAGAAAATAAAGAAAAAGGAAAACAAATTACTTCAAAGGCCAAGAAAATGAAGAAAAAGGAAAACAAATTACTTCAAAAGGTGCATGGGGAAAGTTATGTAGAGGCTATTTATGTGGAACAAAACAGCTAGTTTTAATAAATTGATGTATGTGCGTGTTATTGTTAGAGAAAAAGGAAAACAAATTACTTCAAAGGGTGCATAATATATTATAGTTCATTTTTATACCGGTCCTTTGTTTACTGTTTTATTTGACGAATGAAATATACAGGTGCAATCAGGTGTGCAGACTATCAAGGACAAGCAAGATATAGTGCAAGCTCAGCTGCAACTGGCAAAGCTGCAAGTGTCCAAGACACAGTCAGAAAAGCAACCTAGTGCAATAACTGATCCTGCGCCGCAAGCTGCATCTGCTCCTGTGCAATCTCAGCAACAGCTTCCTACCCCTGCTAATCTTCCACAATCAATACCTGCTGTTCCTCCCCCTAATGCACCTCCACAACAGGGTTTACCAGCTCCAGTTCAAATTCCAAACCAATACTCTCAGAACCAGATTCCAGCTGCCCCCCAGAGAGACACGTACTTCCCACCACCTCAGGAAGCACCAAATCAGCAATACCAACTGCCTTTATCACAGCAGCCACATCCTCAGCCCGTGGCACCGCCACATCAACAATATCAACAGACCCCACATCCCCAGTACCCTCAGCCACCACCTCATCTACCTCAGCAGCAGCCACCATCGCTTCCATCCATGAACCCGCCACAACCACAACTACAATCTTCATTGAGTCACCATGTTGAGGAGCCACCTTATGTTCCTCCTCAGAGTTACCCTCCCAATGCCCGTCAGCCACCATCTCAGTCCCCCAGCGGTCCTCCTCCTCCTCAACAGTTCTACGGGACACCACCCCACACGGCATATGAACCACCATCGAGCAGATCCAGTTCAGGTTACTCTTCTGGTTATGGTACATTATCCAACCCTGGTGAGCAATATCGTTATGGTGGACCACCTCCCTATGGCGGTGCTCCTGCACTAAAACCACAACAATTGCCAACTGCTTCGGTGGCGCCAAGTGGTGCAAGTGGCTACCCTCAGCTCCCAACTGCCAGGCTACTCCCACAAGCAATACCTACTGCATCTGCAGTGAGTGGCAGCTCAGGTTCGGCTGGAACTGGAGGCAGGGTTTCTATTGACGATGTAGTTGACAAAGTTGCTAGTATGGGATTCCCAAGGGATCATGTGAGGGCTACGGTTCGGAAGCTGACAGAGAATGGTCAGGCAGTTGACCTTAATGCAGTGCTGGATAAGCTCATGAATGATGGTGAAGTCCAACCCCCACGAGGTTGGTTTGGTCGGTAGCATGATGCATTTAATTCAAGTGTGTATAGGAGAATTTGTTGCATGATGGAAGTTTATGAGGGGACTTTGTGGTTCGTTGGATTGTGCCAAAGTGGATATTTTGACTCTTCTATTGTTTTTTTTTTTTTTTTTTTGAAGTTGAAACTGGTTTGTTTTCTTGTCTAGCTCTGATTTATGACTATCTTCATCTTGTTCTGTACATTCGCAATAAATAGAAGTGGATTTTGAAAATTACTTAGAACAGCACAAGTTTATTTGAGATTTAATTTTTACCGCTATGTTTGGTTACCAGTTTGCATCTTGTCACTTCAGTTAGTTAATCTCAAATGTAAAGCTAATTTGTGTGGCAGTTTTGTTGTTGTTTATTTTTCCTTGTTTCTCAAAGAAACTTCAATTGAATTCACAGCAAGAAGTTTTATTTATTATTATTTATTTTTAAGTTGATTTGGAAATTCAATTGTATTTTTTAACTATATTCCACAAGCATTCTAAGTGGTAATAACTAATTAAAAATGTACAAAGAGTTTATTTGAGATTTTAATGGTTATATCATAATGTCATGGACCTATTAATGCACAAAAAATTACTATTTATAATTTTAGTGATTTTACTAAGGACCTATTAGTAAAGTACACAAGAGTGAGTGTGTTACTTCAATCAATATGTGAGGGATTTATTCGTAACAAAGGATATATTTAGAGCAAATTTCTTTATTTTGCCAAAGTCTTAATAACAATTATGTAGAGACTGTGTATAAATTTTTATCTCACATTTGATAGGAGTTAATAATTTTTTATACCGAAAATTTTATAAATTTTCTATGTCCATTTTGATAATTTTTAAAAATTTATAATTAACCTAAATAAAAATATTATACCGAAAACATTCTATATAATGTATCATTTATCATAAGTTAAAACTCTAAATTTTCCACTAAACATTTTTTCTATATAGGTCAACTATAACTTTTTCCATAAAATAAACAAATTAGTGTATTGCACAAATATTCTATTTAATAAGATAAAATATATTTTTGGTCTCTTATCTTAATTTTTTAGTTTCAATTTAGTCTCATAAGTTTAAAATATTTTATTTTAGTCTCTTAAAAATGTCTTTATTAAACTAAGTTGATTCTTTTGGTAGCTTATCACATTAGTTTGATCAATTTAATAACATATGACAAACACTAGTGACTAATTTTTATTAGAAATTTTGATTAATTATCTTTAGTGAGACCTATTTTTTCAATTTTATATATATATATATATATATGAGAAAGATTA